GATCTGCTGATCTGTTAACTGCAGGATGAGGCCCCTCCAGTTCACCATCAGAATTCTTGGTGGAATTAGAGTAGGTATCCTTACCTGTGCTGTAGCCAGAAAAGTTATGCATGGAAAAGGAGAGAGAAGTGAAGTATCAGAATCTGGAGAGGTAAAACGTTCTTTGTTTAGTTAAAAGCCTTTTTTAAATCTTGGATAGTTTGAATAGTAATAAATACATTGCTATTCAAAGAAACTGCTAAACTTCCCGGACACCTTGCAAGTTTAGAATCACAGTTTAAAAACAACTTTTTTAATGATGTAATTAGGGCCAGTCATAGAACAGCAAAGGAATATACTCGTTTAATAGACAAAAAGTAACCAGATAAATATTCCCAATGTTGTACCATATATCAGCAGCCACGTCATCGGTAGAGACTGATCGAGCTCGTTCAATGCAGGATATGGACAGGTCAAATTGTTGACAGTAAAAGCAACACAAACCTAAGTTCAAAAATAATTCTGCACTATTGACGCCCATTTGAAGAATGCGTCTGAAAAAAATATTGTCTAAGAAAACATCGTAAATACATTTTTAGAGCTAATACTTTTAATAGTTCAGAAACGGCTAGCTTCGGAAGCGTCATACTAGTGTACAACAAGGGTATTCAAAGGTACAGATGAGCATAAAATTTTAATTTGCTGCAGCAGTAGTTAACAAGCAAACTAGCTGGTTTTACCTGTAATATCGTAGTGCAATTTCGGGTTGATCACTGTAGAAGTAATTGTTCGCTAAACTGGCAATTGCTTCTACGTTGCTGGCATCTAATCGTAGAATTTTTTTGTATATTTCTACACTCTTTTCATTGTCACATATTCCCTAAATTCTTTTTTTAAGTTTTTTAATGTTTCATAAATTGTAAACAAATAAGGTGCTAAACAATTGACCAAATAAACAAATGGTGCGTCACACTTTTGAAGGTAACGAATTGCCACACTTGCAGCACAATACGGCAGCTGCAGAACACTTCATTAAGTTTGTAATTGTCGGAAAAGTTAATATGCGTTTACCAAATATACCGCCAATTCACTTTCAAATGACCCAAAGATATTTTTTCAGCCAACGGAAGTGGTTATCTAGTCCAACAGCTGAACAGAAAAGTAAAACTTTAATAACTTTAATACAACTTTAATAATTTAACGAAGCAGATCTAGGCCGCATGTGATGAAAGGCTGGCTAATAAATTGGAACTCCGCTGATGTCATATATCTTGAATTTAAAATTTATTTTGCCGGGCATCCAGCGTCAGGAAAAGGTAAAGCTTGTACCTGAGAATCTGCAGCCAGAAGAGCAGTATTTACATTTTATAATAAAGGAGTTTTCAAAAGCACATATAGCTGTCTTTTGTGCCTGATTATTATTGTTTTAGATAGTAATTTCCAGTGTTTATTTTTCCTGTTATTCCTTCGACTTCATATTAATTTTTCACTTTTCGTTTCTTCGTTCAGAATAAACTGCTTTTCTCGAACTCTTTTATTTTTAACTAAAACGCATAAATACACTTCTTTAGGCAGGTAGTATTGACTTGGCCTTCAACTTAGCACTAACTAATTGAGATCTTAGGAGATCATTTAGCACATCTAAAAGTTTAGAAAACTGTTTGATGAGTTAAAAGAATACATTAGTATGAGTGAAGAGGTTTATGAAACAATTCAAGGTTACGATGAGGATGAGGTCAAGGGAACCTTTGGTAAACACAGCCTGGTGCATTGAGAATTCAGAAGGGAAGGTTCCGCCGTTGCCGCATATGTGCCAGGTACATCATTAGTGAGAGAAGCAGGATTTCGTGTTTTTTTCTTGCTCAGAAGCACATTTTAGTGATGAATGTGCAATCCACGTTGATGTAGCATAAACCAAGAAGAGTATCAGCATTAAAATTGTGTTTTAAATTTTTAAGAAGAGGTCATATGTAAAGTTAATGCCAGTTTTGCAAAGGGTATTTTTTTGTTGATGTTGTGTGCATAACGAAGTGCTTACTCGAAAAAATTTTCAGGAGATAAGACAGTTAATAGTCAGGGTGGAAACAATCAGGAACAGATAGACTTCCTACTAATGATGACAGGGATACAGTCATTTAAATTGCCGCAGCGAATGTAACCTACTGCAAGACAGTGTAGGCGATTCAAAGATGGTGCCGCTTTGTAACGCGTATCTGCTGCTGATTGTTAAGACTGGCTAAACAAGAAAGAGGTGAAAAAAAAGTTGAAGTTTTATTACACATTGGGAGCGAAAAATATTATATCATCACGAATCTAGCACGCGAGATGAAACTGCTAGCTTTAACTTTATAGAACTTGAAATTGTTCCATTAGAGGAAATAAACCCAATCATGAAGGTATCAGAAACAGTCAAAGCTACCCTGGTTTCTCATGATAGGCTGACTAACATAATGACACTAAATGCAGTACCATTTCTTACTGCGATTAAGAAAAAATGTTCAGAAATTGATAAAAGACGGCTATGAATTTGCTAGAGCTGGAAAATTTGTAGCGTCGGATTATTTTTGAGACCTGCTTCAGGATACTGAGATCACTGTACAGGTCAGTGGCTACTCTAACATCAATGGGAAATTTGAGTCAATGATTACGGACAAAAGATCAGACTTTCCGAAATCAGGCAAACCAAATTTTTTTGCCACAGAGTGTTTCAGTTTTTAAATTCAAAGCAGTACCTACGAAACCGAGTGGAAAATTTTGGAGTATAGAAGCCATTGGTATGTCCGAAGCAGCGGTGGAGAAAGATGATGACGTTGCAATTAAGGAGTTTGAAAACAGCGCAAAATCTACAGTTGGTAGACATCAGATCAACTGAATGTAGCAACCACCTAGTTTCACGTTATCTGACAATTGCGTGCTTTACTTGGATGGGTTAAGAGTTTTACTGAAACAGGTATAGTAAATCTGACCTACCCTGGATAAATACAACGGTGTGGTAAGTGACCAACTCAGTTGAGAGATGATCGAGAACGGAGACGAAAGTTGTGAAGGTTATTTAGTTCACCACACACCTCACCAAGCAATGAGAAAGTCAGGCAAAGCAACGATTAAGATGTGGATTGTACATAATGCATCAGCAAGAGACAAAAAATATGTAAAAAGCTTGAGCGAAGTACTGTTAAGAGGACCGATTATATAACCCGATTAAGCAGACATTCTATTTCGTGCGACGAATTGCCGATAAGCGACAGTGGACAATATCTAAAAAATTTTTCTGCAGGTATCTCTAAATCTTGTTGATGGAGATGTAACACGATTTTTCTAGGCCAAAGATTATTCAATAAAAATGATCAAGGGTTACAGTGCAGCATACAAAGTTTGCCGTATTCATTTTGGGTTAATTTCTGTTTCTCTCTTTTTCAATGCAGTCAATTAGAACCATCTTAGTTGTTTGAGTTTGAGAGCTAACGACGAAGAAAAAAAGATTCTAGAAAAAAGAATTTTCAATCTGCATGTTAATAATATTTTGGCAAGATTTAGGATTCTAATGAAGCGATGGATTTTCATCAAACCATGAAAAGGTTCTTTGGAGACGCAGAAATGGATCTTTGCGAATGGATTTCAAAATCGTACCTCTCAAAGAGATCTTACTTGAACAGATTAGAGATTAAACTTTTAGGAGTCAAGTGCAATGCTAAACAAGATGAGTTCACTTCTCTCTTATTTCCGTCTGATTAAAGTAGCCTGACGACCAAAAGTGGAGCAGTATTTTTCATAAACTATGTCGCGAAAAACTGGTTGGGATAGAAAAATGCCGGTAACTTTCAAGGATGAGTGGAGATAAATATTTCTTGAACTGTCGTTTGCAGCCTTTCTCAATTCGACAGACAATTTGCTTCGCCGACTGCAAGCAGTATAGAATGCACATTGTTACTGACGTTTCCAAAAAAGCGCCTTTGGCTGTTGTGTACTTACGTGTCAGTACAGGTAATCGTTCGAATATTTCATTAGTCGTCGCTTGGTCACGCCTAAACTCCTCAAAAGATGTTTCTTATCCCCATATTGAAGCTTTATAAATGAACCTATTAGAATGCTATCGCTGCACTTTTAACTTCAATTCAAGTCTTCTCGACATTTCCGAAAGTGTAGCTCGACATGCTGTTAAAATGATTTTTTTCCGCTGACTTTCTTTTAATATTTATTGAGAATCGAATAAACAAAGCAAGAATGGCAAAAAAAAGTCAACTACAGATGTGTTGAAGGTGGACGTAATCCAACTGATTTACCTTCAAGAAGTTTCACAGCAAAATTTTTGAGTGAAAATTCTGCCAGAGGAAGCCAGGCTGGTTTAGCTATAATCAAGATGAAGGGCCTGGAATTTGCTATGGCGCACAACAAGTCTCCCGTCTTGCAATTGTTTACGGTAAAAATTAAAGACACAGTTGACAATTCCCAAAGGTGCTTTTCAGCGCGTATTACCGCTCATACTTAAATTCAGCTTCAATCGGCTGTTGTCATTCTGCTATGCTTTTTGAAAAGAAAATATGGAATTAAATCAGTCACGGAGCAAAAGAGCAGCTCCCAAAAGAATGAAGTTTTTGGAGAAAATAAAAGCTTGTAGAAAAGTTGATGCTGAAGAAATCTAAATGGCTAAGCAAGCTATTTTGAAAGCAGTAAAAGTAAATTATTTCTTGAATCTGTTAAAGTGTTTACTAAAATTGATAAAGAATAACCTAGTTTTACATCCTGGTCCAAATGTTTCGAATTTAATCCTGCAATGCTGCAGAAAATATGCGCGCGCTGGGTAAATCCGTAAACAAAAACTCTGATATTGATGGCATATAGAAATTAAGCCTCAAGGTTGACTAAGTCACAAAAGAAGTAATTGGGATATGCAAAGTTTGCATAAGGAACGAAACCAAACCATAAGCAAATGCCCCATGGCTCCTATGCCGAAATTCCGAACCAGAGTCTCACGGCTATTTCAGTTCGTGGGGTAAGATTACTGTAGGCCAAAGATACTCGAAGTCTACTCGGTAGAATATATCTCTAAACTTTTCTGTGCACGACCTTAATTTCTAGGGCTATTCTTCTAGAAATTGTCAAGAATTTAAATTTCAAAATGTTTCTGAATTGTTTTTGTTGTTTCATCACCTGCGGATAAGCTGCAAACTTCATATGCTCTGAAAATGCGACTATTTTCGAAAGTACAAGTAAGCGCTTTTTGTTTCGAGTCGCTCGAAAATTCCAAGTTTAGGAAGTTTTTTATCTTTTTATGAAATTATTTGGCACTTCATTACTCCTATGTCACCATTAAGGGGTAGGGGAAAGGCGCTTACTGTGAAAGGTTAATTGTTGTTATAGAATTGTTCAAAGAAATAACAGGTAGAAAAATCTCAGATTTAGAAGAATTTAGCACAATACTTCGTGAAATTCAATCAGTAATCAATAGCCATTCTCTCACCATGTTTATGGCAATCGGCAGAAATTCCTTCTTCATTCTTCAGTCTCAGTTCTCGCCCATGAAACGGCCGCTTTTAATGTGAAAGATCTATTTTATATTCTAGCAGACAAAGACCGGTCGATAGAGAATTTTATGAAAACGTCAACAACTTTTTCTAAGCTTTAGTCTTTCTGGAAGTCGGAGCATTTTTTGCTTATTGACGGTCTTGGCGCGCTGATTAGCTAGATACTTTCTGCTGGGGAAGTTGAAAGAAGGTACGGTGAAAGGAACAGCAGCAAAGAGAGTGGACAACAGCAGCGGCGCAATAAAACGGAGTGAAGAAAACCCCTGTACTTAGATATATGTATATCTTCAAACGCCTCTGTTACAAAAACAGTGTGCTCGCAGTGGCTTATAGTGTTACTAGTCTTTGTTTCAAATCCCACAACTTCAGATTGTATTGGCTGACCAAAATCTTCTGTACGGTTCTAAGATTAGAAAGAATAGTTTATCTCATGTTTTTTTCGTCCTTTTATAGATGTTTGCGCTATGCGCTCAGGAGCCATCCTTAAAAGACCAAGGATCCTGGTAAGGTAGTTGAGATAGATAAAACGCTCTTTATTGGCAGAAAATGCAACAGCAGTAGGGTAATAGAGAAACGGTCTTTTTTCCTTAACAGTAAGACAAGGAGCAATAGTGCTTCATTGATCCAGCGGAATGACGAGATTTTGCAATTCTTCTGCTACTGATTAGGCAGTATACTGTTCCTGGAACAATTATAATGGCTGACCAGCGGCTGGCACATATGCCAGCAAGGCATCAGCAGCAGACTCTTGACTACACTCTCCTCTTCATCGGTCCCAAGTCTGGCTCTTGCAAAAACACCGCTGAGTCTTTACCGGAAGAATTAAGAAAAAAAAAGACCACAAGTAAAGACATGAAACGGAGATGACACTTTTGAATTCTTAAATACAGGATTTGCTACGGGGGAAGATATACACAGACGCGCGTTGCACTGCTTCTGGAAAGAAATTGCGGACCACCAGCTACCACCTTCTGGTTTTCTGTGAAAGTGTAAGCACTCTTTATCAGCTTTTGATAGGTTGCAAAGTAGTCCAATTTCCGGAATGTCCTTCATAAAGAGCATTAATGTAACTTGTCTCCCGGGTCTGAAGAATAAACAGAAAAACTGACGTTTTGGACATTGACGGCTTTCCAGAAGCTCCTCCCTCAAAAATATATATGGGCCATTAAATTTGTTAGAGAATATGCCAATTTGGATCAGAAAGTGCAAAAGCTGCAAGATTAGCTCCCAATCGCATGATAGAATGGCGGCGCCACACGGTACAACAGAGGCGCCTTGCAGTGTCTATATTCGATGTTTGTAACTGTAAATGAATGATCTCCTAGCTATCAGGGGGTCATTGTGTCTTATTGTCCTAATAAAGGTTTGTAACGTGTTTTCGCCTGACTCCTCTATTCACAACTATTCCCTCCTTCGTTACAAATGCCCAAGAGCTCATGATTTTATCTTTTTTTATGATAAACTACAAGACAATTTTAACCTCCTTCAGTGCGACGGTTTACACTGCACTGAATTTAATAACTGAATACGCGTGCAATTTTCTTTTGTGCAGCCACGTATCACAGTACAGCATACGATCCAACTATCGCATTAGGAAAAAATTTATCAGCAACTAGAAGCACTGTGAAGATGGCTTTTGCAATTCGCTTACTTGGTGAAGCTCTCGCGGATATTGCAGTTATAATGCTGAGCTCTAAAACTCGTTGCTTTATTTGATGACACACCCGTGTACAGCCACATCCTTGCTAAAGGAGCGTGGACGAATGTCAACGCCCAGAGGTCTAAGCGAGGCCCACTTTGGCAAGTGAATTCGGATGAGTTCATGTGTTGGCAAGAATTTTATAGCACACATACCTCGTAAACTCGCGCGAGACCAGTTAAAAGAGTTATATCGTTCTTGTATATCTTAAGTCCGTTTGTGTACTGATCGATGGCCAATAATGGTTGGTCTATTCTATTATAAACCTAAATGTGATTGCGAGCTTTACCTTCACTGTTCTGTTAAAGTTTGAAATCTGATTTTTAAGAAGGTCAGTAATGTGTTTTACAAACCGACTTTTGCAAGGAATGCATACGTCTCAGGCACTGTTTGAATCTGCAGAGATGTTTGAAATTCAGATACTGCTTTTGTGAACATTCCGAGACGGTAATAGCACTTTCCAAGCTGGTTCTGCCAAAACCAGTCTCTTGCCTCTACAGTTTTTGCTGCAGTTGAAGCAATCTGAAAACTGCTGTTCTTTTCTAGAATAAGTATCAATAACATGAGAAATCTAGACAGAAGAGCGTGCGCTGCGTTTTGAACAGATGCTATTAGCAGGATATAATTCGCCAACATTTAGATCAACTGTTTTGCAGCAAATGAATGTATCTCAATTTTTTGTTATGGTGTACTACCATTAATAATAGTGATGACAGTATAAATACCTGATGAGCAATTTTTATGTCTCCCTCGCAACAGAATACGAAACTAAATAGAAGTTTATTCAGCAGTGGATCGACAGCATATTTTGCGACGTTAAGCCGAGATAAATTTATAAAGGGCCCGTTCGGTTGCGTCACCATTGATGCCTGCAAGTAGATAAGAAAAATAAAATGAAAATTTGAAAGGTTAACTTTTTTTTATTCAAGCTGTTTGAAACTAAGGTAGCCAAAAACAAAAATTTTTTAGACTTTCTGGACTGATTATAAACTGGAAGCAATATTTGTTGATTCAATTAAAAATAGTCAGAGCTTACAGTTCCAAGACGAACATGGCGTGCAGAGCTCGACGATGCTGCTCTTGCAGTTTTAGCGGTTCTAGCAGTTTTTAGGCTTTGTTCGATTGTACCAGGCCTTATGCCTGTTTCCGGCTTTATCATACCGCTCAATGGCCTTCCAGACAGAGTTTGAGGTCTGCAATTAGTTTTTAGTCATCAAGTAATTGGAGTGGAACTATATTCCTACACAGAAACAATTCTTTATTTGCATTAACAACATATCTGCTATGAACTTTCTGTAACCTGTTTCAAAAAATTTATGAATTATCCCTACTTTTGACAGCAATGAGTAAAAATTATGCCGCTGGCGAAAGTTGAATCTACGTTGTTTACCTTATCCGTGTAACATTCTCTCACTGAGCTACAGAGAGGCACTGTCCAGCGCAGTACTTTTTTCCTATAACTCTGCACAGTCAAGACGGTTGAGCAAATGCGGATTTCAATTGTTTAAATTTCGTAGTTTTTTTTCCTTTCACGTCTCTTTCTTATTTTTAATTCAATATAATAAATAAACACAGAAATCAGAATTTGGATTAAAGGAAGTACCATTTTTACTGTGATTTATTTCCCAGCAATAAGATACACAAGATCCCTTCGCTCTTCAAACAATTGATAAAATCAAAAATAATTTTTTTAGGCGAACTCTGTTCAGCATCTAGCCTCCAGGATAAAAACTAAAAAGGAAGCTTTTTGGAAAATATTACGCGGTTCCCGATACTTTTTGGCCCTTCGTTTTTTGAAAGCTCATAGCTTTTACCACTGTAAATACTGTCGTGAAAACACGTAAAATCAGTATTACCAACTTACAAAGGAGCTCATCATTAATTTATCTCTCGGGAAAGTCTATGGAGAGTAGAAAACAGGCCATTGCTAGATGCATTTGAGTACAACCGCTAAAGGCGGCTTGCATTTTTTCGTTTACGAGTTGGCTGAAGTTTAGATCACCAAATCCAAATACAATCGCTACCTTCCGCCGCTTTTCCTGTCGCGATATATTCAGACACTAATCAATTCTTCTCTACTTACTTTTTTTTCATTTACAAGTCGTGCCTGCTTTCATTTTTAAAGCTCACCTGTTTTCTTTTAAGCAGCGGGTAATTTTTTTGTGCATCGAAGTGTTGGTTGTTTGCTCTCAAGCAATTATTTCGGTCCTAATTTTGATGACTATAGTAGAATCAGATTATAAGGCAGCGCACAAACGCCCGGTAACACTTCTTCGTTTTCACGTATAGGTGAAACACCCAACTGTTTGTTAAACTGTATTATTTGGACAGTAGTTAGGCAAAGAACGGTCATAAAGCAGAGCATGCTGTACAATGTCAGCAGGAAATTACCAGTTGGTGTTACTAATGTTTAGCTTTTCGAGAAAAAACGTTGGTCATCTTCGGAGTTATCAATTGTCCACTTACTACGCTGGTCCGGAAATGCAAGCTCAAAGTTACGCTGTTTTAGGAGAGCTATTAGGGACCGTCAGTTGAGCCAACTACCGCTTGAAGAACTGAAACCCTTTCGCAATGACGTACTCCACACATATGCTTAGGTAAAGATTATAAAGTCCCTCTGTGGTGCTGGAAGTTCTAGTTAAGTAGTTGGAGATTTCTAAATATCAGTACGGCACTATGGACCGATTCAACAGTGCGTAACATCATGTAAGCAGATGCGCTGGTGAGGGGTATGGCACAGTCATGAAAGAAATTTTAAATAGTGACTCTACACCACGGTTACAAAAAGCGTTTGAATGCCCAAATTTGAGATAGGTAGTGTGCTGGTGACTGCAAAAAAAGTGATTCTCATTTAGACGTGTGGCCACATCACGCTGATTGGCTGGAAACGATGATGCCAATCAGAAGCCCGTTTTTTTCATACAATATATGGATGCCATATGCAGTATGTCTGATTCACTGATGACAGCGAAAAATACCCCTTACTTCACTGATGCACAACCAACGTGATCCCTCCAGAGGTAGCTGTAAACAAATATATAAGAAGCACAAAGGGTAATGGCTTCTAGTAAGTGTTCTTGTGGATTTGGAAGAGAGCGAAATTGATTGGTTTACCCAATCAATTGCGCATCGGATGGTCGTTTCGAGTGTGGAGCGACTGATGAAAGCTTTTTGGTGAAATGAGGAATAAAGCTAAGAGTACAGCGAAAGCCCCTTGCTAAAACACAGATACGAAATAAACAAAGAGGAGTGAGAAGCAAGCGAAGTAAACGGAGCTCACGAAGCTTGCTCAGCCTTTGTCTAGTTTACAAACTTCTCACTTTTATTCTGCCTCAGCTCTTCCTCAGAAAGTATAGGGTTCTGAAAAGTTTTTGAAAGCCATTGTGCTGTTCAGCGCAGTCTAATTTTTCAAAAGCCCTTCAAATGAAGAACACTATTGCAAAACATGAGCTGCTCTTGTACCTTCAAAGCACGCATCTAAACAGCAGGTCTCGGTGAGTTGGACAATGGGCAAATAAATCAATTTAGTTTACCGGAATTCAAATGTTCTGACCCCTCACCCCCCTACCTCCTCTCAGCATAGAAGCATATGGTTCCATATTACCAACTGAATTATTTATGAGTCACATTTTTTACTGGTTTGAGCGTGTGCAGCATACGACTTGCGTTCTTCTTATTTCTTCGTAACGTCCAACAGTTAACCTCCGAAAAAGCCCTGAGCAGCGCGCGGAGATGGAGCCACTAACCCAAGCAGAGTGCTACGATGTAACACCCTGCATTTGCTAGCAACAATCGAACAGTATTTTGCTGCTCAGTCTGCTAATACGCAGAATGATTAAGATGAGTACAGTAGACAGATCTAATTTATGGAAATTTTTGGACATAAATATAGATATGAATATAAATATAAATAAATAAATGTATAAACATATATATTTATGGACAATTACATGCTAATTTGCGCACTTTTGACCTTCGACCTCTCTTTCATTTTTTGCTTACTTGTACCACTTGAAACTGGATTTTGAAACCAAGAGAGTTTATCTCAAAGAATGAGCTGACGGCAAAGTTATACCGGTCTAAAGTGCAAAAAAAAAAA